TATTTGTCAGTCGATGTAGCAGCATTCCCTTGCAAGTCAGGCTATTTGTCAGTCGATGTAGCAGCACTCCGTTGCGAGTCAGGCTATTTGTCAGTCGATGTAGCAGCACTCCGTTGCGAGTCAGGCTATTTGTCAGTCGATGTAGCAGCACTCCGTTGCGAGTCAGGCTATTTGTCAGTCGATGTAGCAGCACTCCGTTGCGAGTCAGGCTATAAGATAGTCGATGTAGCAACATTTACGCATGTTTTAAAAATGTTTTTTATTAAATCAGTAACAAAAACACCACTAATTAAAAAAAACTTTCTAGTCGTTATAATTGCGGTTTTTTAAAATTTTTTAAAAAAACAATTAAATTTAATGTACTTCCGCATAAATTAATTGCTTTGACATTTCGATGACAATCAAAAACAGCTTAAGAGACGAGGTAATTAAAATTGTAGTCGAAAGAGACTTTTTTTACATTAAAACGCTCTTTCGACTACACTCTATGGGTATATATATATATATATATATATATATATATATATATATATATATATATATATATATATATATATATATATATATATATCCTATGGCCTACTAATGGGAAAAAATTAAGACTTTAAGGTTAGAGTAACAATCAATTTTTGAACCCAATATCCTTAAGTATAATGGCAGCAAGGACTACTAGACATCGGGCATAAAAACAATAAGTTCTTAAAGGGATCCCTAAGTGCTATAAAGATATGATATCATATGAAAGAGCATAAAAAAAAAAATGTTTGATGTATATTATTTTTTCTAAAACGTAATAATGAACACACACTAACAAATTTAATTTTCAAAAAAACGCTTTTCTTCGATTAAAAAAAAAGAGCGTCTTGTCCAAAGTTTATTGACTCTACTGCCTCAAAAAACTAACGTTTGTACGTCAAATTAAACAAAGTAGACAAAATGTCATTATTGCAAACTTATTAGTTGGTAATTAAATTTAAAAGTAAAGTCGGTTTTTTTCAACTAACTCATAATTACTTACAAGAATAAGTTTTGTAGCATTTTGTGAAAATATATTTGTATATTAAAGTTTTTTTTATAATATTAATTTATATATTTGTGTTATAAGGGCAATTCCACGGCTAAAAATGAATAGAAGTCAAATTTTAAACTCTTTTTAGTCAGTTAAAAACAAATGAATATTGACTTAGACACATGAAAGTTTATTTAAAATATTTCCTTAGTAGAAAAATAAATTTTTTTCGGTAATTTGTATGGTTTCAAAAGTGACGGTTACTCTCATTTTTGCTTGATAAAAAAAATAATTATTGTAAAATGTTTTAGTTAAATTAACATTTATGTTAAATTGCTATATTTTTTTGGTTCAAATTGATAAGGTTGAATAGACATTTTATTAGAAAATTAAACTTAGACAGGGCTCGAATTAACGCAAAAAAATCTAATCGCAAAAGAGCAAAAAAAAAGTTTTTTTTGCTCTCCCCCCCCCTCTCTTTTATAGCTCGCGCCGATGTGCGGTAATGGGGAAAAAAATTATCGTCAATAAATTAAAAAACATCGTCAAAAACTTAATAAAAAATTAGATACCACGTTTTTTATAATTTATTGTTTCTTGAATAAAGGACTAATAAAAGTTTAAATATAATTAAGTTTTTCATTTAAATGGTTGATGTTTTTATTTAATTTTTCTACTTCAAGTTTTCAATAAAAGATGAAACAAAAAAATTTGGTTTAATAAATCGAATTATACTTCATGTTTAAAATAAGGCTTAAAAACGTTAAAATAAAAAAATTGCTGGTTTTTATTAGCATCTTTATACTGTTTGAAAAAAAAAAACTAATAAAAAAGAATTAACTAATAATATATTAATTAATAATTATTAGAATTAATAATAATAACAATTAATTCTTTTTTGTTAGTTTTTTTTTCAAACAGTATAAAAATGCAAATTAAAGTCAGTAATTTTTTTGCTCTAACGTTTGTAAGCCTTATTTTAAACATGAAGTTTTGATAAACAAAGATAAAAACCAACTTTTCAACTTTTCGCTTAAACGACCTTGTAAAAATTTTCCACGCAGAGATTTAAAGTAATTTAAATTCAAAAATGTTTTACGTTAAAAGAAAATCTCCGCGCGAAAGAGCAAATCGTCTATTTATCTATCTATTCAGAATAATAAATTTTGTGTGACGTTCTTTATGATAAAAACATTACTTTTAAGAATTGCTAAGCTCAAAAAAAAAAAAAAAAATCAACCAAAAAAAAAATAAGTCCTAAAAGATTTAAGACAAAACTAATCACAAAAGTGTGTGTTGCAATCGCGATCGCGATACGCTTAATATGAGCCCTGTAAGACTTTTTTATAAGTTCTAAACTATTTAAAACTATTACTTAATAACTTTTTTTTAACGACGTCTTTCAACCGAATGCTATTATACTGTTTTTGCAAAACTAATTAAAAAAACTTGATTAAAAACCAACTATTTAATCACGATTTTTTTAACTTGAAAATCGAAGTAGATATTCTAAAGTTGTTGTGACGTACTAACGTGATTTTTAACGATTAAAAATCGAGTTTCAATGGTGAAAAAATAAAATCAAAATGGAGTTGTTTTTTAGTGATTTCGGCAATTGCTTTTTTTAGCATGCATTTATTATTACAATTTAGTGAAAAAGAAAAAAAACTTACATATTTTTTTTTTATGCTCTTTCATATGAGATCATATGTTAGGAGCACTTAGGGATCCCTTTAAGTCATTAAACTTTATGAATTTTTTTCTTATAGCAGATCATAAGTCAACCAACATGCTTAGAGTTTCTGGACAGAGACCAGGAAAAATAGAGATATAAAGCTAGAGTCCTTTCAGGGCTTGGCATCTTGTTATGAGATTTTGTTGTATAACGGAAAAGCGTAACGCAAGTAATTTTAACTTTTGTAAATATACACATTAGTATGTTTAAAAGTTTATATACGATAGTTTGGTATTTTAAAATAACACATTTTTGTTATATTTAATTTAAATTTAACCAGATAAAATCATTTCAAGCCTTTATCTTTAATATTTATAATTATAATATAATATGATATAAAAAATAATTATCAATGAAATTTAACAGGGTGTAAACTAGACCTGTGGGGTAGTATTCCCAAATGCTCATAAAACGGTAGTAAATGCTCATAATGCGGTAGTGGTGTAGTGGTAGAGCGCTCGCTTCATAAACGAGTGGTTCCGAGTTTGATCCCCACCACGTCCCTGGTAGTACCGCGCTCAACTTGTTTCTCCGCGCAGCGACCTTGTTCATCAAGGTTCGTGTTTCGGAGTTATAGAGTTGAGAGAGGGTTATAGCCGCAAATAAGTAGCCTCCTTGTCTGTAGTGGCCTTCTCGGCCTTGAGGAGGTGAACTAAAATTAAAAAAAAAAAAAAAAAAACTAAAATTCCCAGTTTAAAAGTGAAAAAATCCCATTCTCCAAATAAAGTTTGTCTAATTAAAGTTTAATAATAATTCTAAAAATTATTACTGTTAAAAACTAATAAAAGAATAACATAAAAAATTATAATTTATTGTTTAAAACTCGAAATAAAATTGCCGTTATTGGAATAACTACGCACTTGCATAACTGCAAAAATGTCTCTTGAAAAAAAAACTTTTTAAAAATTGGGATTTTCCAAAAATCCTTAAAATTGCTTGGAAAAAAAATTCAATTCTCAAAATTTGAAAATAATTTTTTGCAATGAGTTCCAACAGCAGCAAATATTATTTAAAAAAAAGTTAGGAAGAAATAAAGTACAATTTAAAAAATTAAAAATTTGTTTGGTCACCCACAAATGCTATTTCTTTAAAAGTTTTGCCCTTTTTGGCTAAAAAGTTTAATAAGTTGAATAAATGTATTTTGATTATAACAAACTGGTTCTAGAAATTTATTTAATAAAGAAAATAAATTTCTTTACTTTACTGTCTGCTTTTATTTAAAAGGTAAATTAAATATGAATATTAAAACATAAATTAAATACCTTTAATAACAAGTATGTTTTTTTTTTATTACAACAAACTGGTACTAGAAATTAAAAAAAATAAGAAAACTAGATTCACTGCTTGCTTGAATTTAAAACATAAAAGCTAATTTAAATGTTTCAATGAATCATAGTCATAACAACATTTTATGACTATGCATGAAAAAATAGTTATTGGTATTCTTTGTTGCCACAATAGCGTGCAATTGCTTCCAATCTTTTGCAATTCTTTTGTAATTAAACAACATTGTTGTTGTTTTTGCTGAGACTTTGTAATTGTAACTTTATTTTGCTATGAGATTTATGTATAAAGAAAGTTAATATTAATTATAAAATTGAACTCGCAATAAATGTGAAACATGAAATTTACAAGGTTGAGTTTACTATTTTCAAAATCTTTTTAATTTTTCTATTTTTAAAACATTTCTTTTGATGACACACATTATTACATGATGGTTTAGGGGTTCATCCATAAAGGACGCCAAACAGAACTTAAATAATAACTAGTAGAAGATCGCTATATTACTTTAAAAATCGCCCTATAATGCCCAGCAGTGAAAAAAATACTTTATAATTGCCATTTAATACCCACAAGTGAAAAAATGTATATATTTAAAAGAATAATCTTAACATGAAAGTGGAAACGATATATTAAGATTAAAAGTAAATCAAATATATTATTGTTAATAAAAATTAATTAATACACATTGGATATTTTTAAATATAAAAATATATAATTTTGAATATATCTTTGGAAATCAGAGCTTAATTTGCATTGTCGTTGTGAAACAACATTTAATTTTGTGTTGATTTCATATTCATTTTCTAAAAATAATACAGGCGGTATTTTGCTTTATTTTTGGCGCTGTCCAATCAATGTATGCAGCGTGAAAGTCGAATAGAAGAAGAAAGAGTATAAGAAACGAACCCCACACATTCCTGGTACACATTTTAATCTCAAATTTTTTGACGAATTCCTAATTTCCTTAAAACGCTGTATCAAATTTATTCCTAGGTAACACCCTGTTTAATAATGTTACTAGAAAAAAAAATTCTAAAACTAATACTTCCTATCTATTTTTAAAACATTTTAATTTTAAAAAAAATCTTCAAAAATGTTAAAAATTATGTTCCTAATTTAAAAAACAAAAAACATTTCAGTTTATTTTCAACTTGAAAAACATACCCTTGATTTTTAAGTGGGATTGTTGGATCAACTTCATATTCTTTTCGTGAAAGATCCTCTGCTTTAGATACAGAAACATCTTTATTTGATCGAGCAGGCTTTTGTACAGGGTTTGCAACAACTGCAGTATTTATTGAAGTAATAGATTGATTTCTTACAGCAGGAACAGGCTTTTTATTGGGATGGCTGGAGTTCAATGGTGGTTTAATCGATGAGGCTGATTCAACTCCTACTGAAAACCGTTTTTCAAAATCAGCTTCCACATCTTTCATTTTCCATTCCCAAGGGGCATCATATTCACCAGCTGTAGGCAAGATAGAAGAACTAGGTTTGGGTTTAGCTGATGAATATGGTGCATGTTGAGGTGGAACAGGTTGTAAATGAGGAGCAGGGTTTTTTAAATTTCTAGATAAAAAGTTTAATTAATGAATTTTAGTTTAAAATATAACATTTTGTGATATACGCAAATACATATATATAGATATATATATATATATATATATATTTAAACAATTTTAAAAAAATGTATTCTACAAAGTAGAGTGCTCAATGTTCTTAAAAGAACAGAGCAATTATAAATTAGTAGAAAATCACTTAACAAATATTTTTTTCATTTTACACTGTGTTTCATCAACAAAAACTTATCAGAAATTTTAGATTTCTGATGAGTCTTTGTTGATGAAACACAGTGTAAAATGAAAAAAATATTTATTAAGTGATTTTTTACTAATTTACTAATTTATATATATATATATATATATATATATATATATATATATATATATATATATATATATATATATATATACATATATATATATATATATATATATATATATATATATATATATACATATATATATATATATATATATACATACACATATATATATATATATATATATATATATATATATATATATATATATATATATATATATATATATATACATTTATATATATATATACATATATATATATATATATATATATATATATATATATATATATATACATATATATACATATATATATATATACATATATTTACATATATATATATACATATATATATACAAATAAATATATATATATATATATATATATATATATATATATATATATATATATATATACCTATATATATATATATATATATATATATATATATATATATATATATATATATATATATATATATATATATATATATGTATATATATATATATACATAGTATATATATATATATATATATATATATATATATATATATATATATATATATATATATATATATATATATATATATATATATATATATATATATATATATATATAGGGGAAATAAAGGCATAACCACCCCCATAACATTTGGATTAATGTTATATGAAAATATAACTAAAATGTGTTTTTTTAACAGTTCATTTAAATAATCTTTATAAATATACATTAAAGTTTATTATTTTATATCTATATGATGAATAAATTTTATATCTATATGATGAAGAAATGTTTTTAACAGTTTCTTTTAATAACCACATCATTAAGCTTTAAATTAATGCATTTAAAAAATAATTAAATGGTTTTTGAAAATTTTATTACACAAAAATTACACTTAGTGCAAAAACGATTTTGCCCCCATTGTGAGACACAACCAAACCCTCACAAAAACCGTTGGGGGTTCATTTTTCTTGGTACATTTTCTTTACAATTGTCACAGCTCAGATTATTTACTAATGTTATTGCGCGTTTGCATACTGTGTAGACATTTTTTAAACTTATAGTTTCAGTTTTCTCATTCAATACACTTTTATCTTTTATTCAAAAACTCATTTATAAAAATTAAATAAAAAAATATGAAATCTAATTTTCAATATCATAAAACAAAACTATTTCTATTCAAATTTTTATATGAACACATTCAAGTGTGACAATTGTAATTATTGATATTCGTAATTACCTTTGTAATCAAGTAACTTTGATAAATATTAAAAGTAGTCGGTTGTGCTTCCTGTGCGTTTATGCGGTTCTGTTATTCATAATAACCTAACTTCAGTCTTCTCTGTTTGAAATTTACTGCCAGCGCACGAAAAAGCACTGGCCGGACAGTAATTATTTATCTGGTGTGCCGGATTTTAAAAATATTTGTTTTTTATACCTCTTTAATTAGAATTTGATTTAAAAAACGATTTGTTGCAATTTAAAAACACGCTTGAAATTTTTTGGTGAGCACTTAAAAAAGCGCCAGCAGTAGTATTAACTAGCATGTGGGCGAGTGCAAAACTGTGAGAGCGCGAAAGCGCTAGTCAAACAGAGTGATAAATACAATAAATAACTTTGATAAATATAAAAAGTATGCTGTTGTGCCTCCTGTACGTCTATGCCCAGAGGACAGATTTTAGAAAAAATATTCAGTTTCATTGCTTGCTTATTTTGTTATGGTGATATCAAAAATGGTTTTCACTTGATAAAATAATGCTAATAACACATATTTTTAACACTCAAATTAAATATTGCTTAATCCTCAAAAAAAAACATTATTATGCAATAACTTCTCAATAACGTAACAGGCACTCTTTTTGACATAAGCAAAATGAAGGAAACTGTTTTACTAACGCGTGGTATGTTTTTGCCATATTAGATAACATTTTTCAATGGAAAATGTTAAAAAGCGGTTGTGCCTCCATATGCAGTTATGCCCCCACTTCCCTTATAAACGGTGTGGGAAAAATATGATGGAACAAAAATAAAATGACGCTGTCTGAGTGTAATTTTTGTGACGCTGCCTAAGTGTAATTTTTGTGTAATAAAATTTTTAAAAACCATTTAATTGTTTTCTTAATTGCATCAATTTAACGCTTATTAATGTGGTTATTGGATTAAACTGTTAAAAAAAACACATTTTATTTTTATTTTCATATAATATCAATCCAAACGTTATGGGGGTGGTTATACCCCATTTCCCCTACTTTATATGAGGTAGCCAAGATTTTATCAATAATAATTTTTAAGAACTTTATAGACTTGTTTTTATAATTTGTTCAGCATTTATTATTAGGTTCTTCGCATCATTTTTATTATAATAAAATAATATAAAGCACTCAAAATGAACATTATTTAACTGGCAAAAATTACTTAAAATTAACACTTGAACTTATGACGTTGTTTTTATTTCTAAGATTTGTTTTGAGCAAGTTTAAGCAAATAAAACTTATTGAGTTTTTGGGTGACTTTACATTAAATTTGAATTACTGTAATATATTTTAGTGAATCAATTAGAATATGTTTTAATATTAATTATTTAGGTAAGCTTTTGATTTTTTTCTTTTTTATATTATCACTTACCAGTTTTTTTTTTTACTTGAAATTACTAAAAAATGCAATAAAAACCTTTGAGAATTGTAAGTAAATGTTTAAAAATTTTTGAGTAACTTTGAAATAAAGTCATACATTTGCAACTAAAACAAAAAAAATTTTGTCCATTTTTAAAGCTATTTTGCCCCACTGTGCAATGAAAGCATCAAAGCAAAGGTTTTGACACCAATTTGCTGTACTGAAGAGCTTTCCTTGTTGATCAAAAACTAATTAAAATTTTGCTCTGATATGAGTATGAAGACAAGTTCAAAAGATGATATTTTATTTGCAATACATTCAGTTTTGTGGTTTCAATTTTTTTGAGAGGGATATTTAGCAAATTTTTACAGCATTTAATGCGGTCAAAATTGCATTAATAGAAATGAGAATTGTTTTAATGGCATTTGTGAGAGCTTTTAATGCATTTGTGATAATGATTTGAGTGTTTTTTTGTTTTCTATATGTTGTTTTGAGACATACCAGCGATGCACCTAATTTAAATTAAAGATATACAACAGTTGCATGATAGGAAAAAAAAATTAACTGCAAACAAGCAGCATTATGCAGCAGTTTGCCTTACTAAGTTTAATAAATCTGACACACATGGTATATATTTATGGCATGTTCATTGGACTTTACTGCTTGCATTTCTCGGATACTTTGCAAATATTTGCAACATTGTCGCAAAACTGACCTCAACATTTTTTAGCATCCAAGCAACCAATCTTACCTAAATATCTTAAAACCTGTTCTGCAATGACTGAACTCACATCACTATTCATAGTTAAAAATGTTAAAAAAGACTAGCTTATCACCTATATGTTAAGTGTATCCAAAATTCTATACTGTTGGTTACTGTGAGCAATATTTAGAGTTAAATCAACTAAAACAATAACATAGCAGAATTGCAGTTACCTTGTACAGAAATATTTCATGCGCCATTAATGTCTAGCATTTTAAGTCTAACATTAGAAAACTAACAGAAGAAATGTTTTGGGATTAATATTAACTAAAAAAAAGCATCACAAAGAAAAAAACAATAGCAGACTAAAGTTATTTTTTTTCTTTATTTATGTTCAAAAGACTATTTTTTTTAAACTTTTTACAAAAGAAACAAGAAATAAAACTAACCCATTTATTTTTGGTTCCACTCCTAATATTACACGCTCTTCATAGGGCATATCATACAATTCCGCATGCTCTTCAACATCAGATTCTGAAGCATGTGGTGTGGAATCCATAACGGTGTGTTTATTTTTATCATATGGCTCAGAATAGGTATCATCAAACTCGTCATAACTCTTTGAAGTGCATTTTTTTGAATCCCATGGGTCACTATAATCATCTTTTTTTTTAGTTGGAACACTGTTTTGTTTATTTTCCAAATCTTTCTTATTTTTACCAGAAAAAGTGTCCCATGGATCTATATATGTGTCAGATGGTAATGTCTTAGAATCATTTTCATTATCAGTACTTTTTGAAGTTTTTAATGTTTTAGAAGTTTGAAGATCATTTTCGCTTTTCATAGCATCAAAAGGATCTTCATATGTATCATTCAACTTCGAGGATTTGTCATTGTTGCTCATCTCTTTACTGTCCCAAGGATCCTGGTACTCATCTTTTTTTATCTTAAATAAATAAATTTTCATTACAAACCTATCATAAACGCAAAATTTTAGATTTTAAGAAAATGTACATTTTATAAATTTAAAGATAAAAAAATATACACAATCTTGTATAAAAAGGTTATATAAGTGGATTTTCTACATTTGTATATAACATATTTGTTTATTTTTATATTATGTTATATTAGATGCTGTGCAATAAATCTGCACTTATTTAGAGAACCCGCTTGAAAAGTGCTAATTAATTGCAATGGATATAAGAGTTTGTATAACAGTTCATTTTTCAATTACAAGCATAAATTTGATAGATGGTTTAATGCACTGTCATCGACTCTAATGACAGCGCATTGTATTAAAGGTTCAAATCAGCCCCTTAACACAATATATTTTCAATTTTTTAACATGGTTTTATATATTTATAGCAAAATATATACATATAGCAAAAAAGACATTTAACTGTTAAAATAAATTCCTAATGTTTTTTATAGCTACAGGTGCTCCTTTTTTTTTTTTTTTTTGCCTCTACAGCAGCACCTTCTGCACAGTGAGCCTAGAGGTAGAAATAGACAAAAAAATTGGTTTGAAAAGTCTATAAAAATTATTTATTCTGAAAGTCAGATAAATTTGTGGATAAACAAAAAAAAATTAAGTTTCTAGCTAATTTCTAAGTGATGATATGCAATTTTGAAGTTGATGAATTTCCATTTTTTTTGTCTATCTATAAAAGTTTAGTAAATTCAGTTAGTTTCTATTCAAAATGAAATTACCGACATAAAAATCGATTAACCACTAATGTAAAAGTTGTTTTTATTTTGATATGGAATATATTTTTTAATAAACATATTTAAAAATTTGTTAACAAAAATAAAAATGTAAAATACATCATAGAAATAAAGAGATTATTTCACACAATTTATTAAAAGATTTATTCACACAATTTATTAAATCTGACAAAACAGCCAGCTTTAATAAATTGTCAAATTCAGTAATATATTCAGCCATTAAAGAAATACTTTATAAAAATTTTTAACTATCAGTTAATTCACTGGAGTTTGAAAATGTGTGTGAAAAAACATGGAAATGTTGTAAATGCCTGAAAGAGAAAAATTTCAAGAAAAATGGATATGTATTTATACTTTCAAAATCATCAAAAGATATTATTTATGAAGTAGAGGATGCTTACATAACAGAACCATGTATTTCAAAACAAGTAAAATCTTTTACAAAACTGGGTGATAAGATGAAAAAGGAACTTCTCAATTATATAAATAACTTTAACAATAATGAGTGCCCAGAGTTGCATGTTAACCAGCTATTAGGTTACCTCCTTTATAAAGTTAACATATGCCAGCAGACAGTGATGAGTATCAGATGTGTTCTAAATATGGTTGTGATGGAGCAAGGCAACAAGTATCGATAAAATCAAAAGAAATGATTAAAAGCAAGTCAAATAGTTTCAATATGGTCTTATTCCTTTAAAACTAATATGCCATCGAGATTATTACCCTCTGTGTTTTTGATAAGAAAAACAGAAACTCATCAAGATTTGCTAAATCTTATTGTCCCAATTACTAATGATGGAAGAGAAGATTTAAATACTCAAGGAATGTGTTGTCTGTTGGGCAAAAATTATATCAAAAGTTATATTCAAGATACAATAAAGGATTTAAAATTTAAACAACTCTTCAGCGGACTAGGAGATAGTATACTTTGAAAAACAAAAACTACTGAATGAACAGATATTAGGAGAGTTAGTGAAGGATTTTCTGATTGATCAATCATCAGAAGAAACTTGGATGCTGTACGAAGAGCTAGTTGAGAAGGATGGTACTAAAACTAGAGATTTTGACACAAGAAAAGGATTGACTAAAAAACCACAAACCAAATCTGATCAAAAAGCATATGTATTACACATATCACTACCATAGCATATGTATTACACATATGTATTACAAGCATATGTATTACATATATGTATATATGTATTACATTTATACATATATTATACATATTTATATTATAAATAAAATAAATATTATACATATTTATATTATATTTATACATATGTATTACAAGCATATGTATTACATATATGTATATATGTATTACATTTATACATATATTACATATATGTATTACAAGCATATGTATTACACATATCACTACACACATATGTATTACAAATATCACTACCTGGTTTTTAAAACTACTTTATCGGTGTCATATATATTATAGACTTTTGGTTAAAAAAACAGGACCTCTTGGTGAACCAATATGTAATTCAAAAGAAAGAGTTATTACTAAAATAAAAGAAAATACTGGACTGTGATTAGATATGTGTTGTAACTCTGGTGAGAGAGGAGGGACATCTACAACAGAGTCACAAAGCCATAGATTTCTGCCATAAAATATCTATGCTCTCCTATGTACAAAGATAGCATGTTAATACTACATTCTCAAATCAGTATAATATTTCGTATAGTTTCTTGTAAGTGTATAATTAATTTCAGGAGTTATGCAATAATGCTACATTTAACATTATTACAAATAAGCCATTGGTACTAACTGACCACACTCTTCATGGTGTCATGCATCATTCAACTGAGTTAATAATTATTAATGATGGTTACGTCCTGGGTAATTTATTGGAGGAAGGTCTACAAGCAAACAACAAAGGTATTAGTAACTGTTTAATACTTCTCTCTCATATTTGCATCCTCTAAAGTTATGCCAAGATTGTGGTTTAAATGAGCATACATGCAGATCTCATAAGCGAATATTTTCAAAACCAGAGATATTTTGATGATATGTTTGAAAACCTTATTTATGATTAATTATAAATTTATTAAAATTTTTTACTATTTTAACTTTTTTATCGTCAAATATATGTTGCAAGTTCAAATCATTAGAATTCTTTCTATATAATTTTATTTTAAATCCAAATTAGGAAAACTATACACATTCATGTAAAGAAAACATCTAAAGAAAACTATCTAAACAAACACATTCATATCTAAAGAAAACTATCTAAACTAACATATCTAAAGAAAACCCATTTTAGAGTATTTTAAAATAGAAGCTATAGAAGATATTGAAACAAATTTTGATTCATTTGTAAGAAAAGTTATTGTTAAATTTTTTTTTTTCATCTTTAACTATGCTTGAACTGTGTGAGATGTGATTGTTTTGATTAATCAGCATGTCTACTGATTGAGCCTTGCAGTACTCTGGTGTTTTTATATAGAAGTGTTGTTGATTCAGTCTGTTTATATGCTATAAACACTAACTTCGCTAATATTAAATCAATCCCATATACCTTCACTCCCAACGCCAACTAGATAAAAATGTATACAGAATATTGAAAGTAATTTTTTTGAAATCTAATTCTTTTTTATATTTCTCTTTTACTGGCCATGGATTCATGTTACTGGTCATGGATTTTTCATACTTATTGATTACCACTTTCTTGTATTACCTGCTGCTTTTTAAATCATTGCTGTGTATAGTACTTTTTAGATTTTATCAATGTAAAGTGAACCTGTCATTAACATGTTAGTTCGTTAAAAAAGATTTTTCCTATCATACAAAAAAAAAATTACAAAAAAATCATAAGAAAAATGGTTGCATTTTTATGATGTTTTAAAAAAGGAATAAACGACATATTTAATTATGTCTACTTTTGGTTCAGGGTCGTTAAAGTGCAATACTTTAAAGCAAAAATATTACTGGTTTCTATTGGAATTTAATAACTGTTAGAAAAAAATTGAAATAAAAACCGGGTTTAATATTTTAATATACTTATAGTAGTAATGTAAAATTGCTGATTTAAATTATTAATAAAAAGTTAATTTAATACAAAGGTTTAACAACAAAGATTAAAAAAAATAAATAAAAAATTCACTTTAACATCTTTTTACTTTCAAACTTTTTGCTTGAACAACCCGCAACCCTATTTTTTTAAGCACTTTGAATATATATCCTATAGCTAGCACTGCAAAAGTAGTATGTAATATAACTTTTACTAATTTAGAAGACACTAATTTTCACAGGAAGAAAAAAATTGTCAAAAAAATCTATTACAAAGTTAAATCTAACATTTATTTTACACTTATAATTTATAAAGATAATAAAGCTTTATTTAGATTGAGTTTTTTTTTGTTTGTTTTTTTCAAAAATTTTTGAACTTTTTAATTATAAGATTTTTTATTAAAATATTTTGAGATTTAAAAATTAGCTCACCGAAAAATATGAATTTTTCCTAATTTAATTCAAAGCAAATAAATACTATCAAAGCCTCCCTAAAAACAAAATTTAACTTTTTGTATTAAGGGCTGTACATTAATTATGCCCACTAAATAGGGGAGGGGAGTGTCAAATTTATTGGCAATTGTTGACAAAGAGGTTAGGTCAAGAAAAATATTTGTTTTAATAAATTATATTACTAAACACTGGAAAATATGTTTTTTCCATTTTTATTTAATTTAGAGAGGGAGTAAACAAATGTTAAGGTAAATTTATAGGACCTTCACTTAGCAGAAGAACAAATATATTCAGGGTTGGGGCCTAGTCACCTAATACAACTAAATTAACATACTACGACATTAAATACCGCAACATAATCACAGAACAACTCAACCTTGAATAAACTAATTTATTGAAAAAGAAAAATGAAAAAAGGTAAAAAAAAATATCTTATGTTGTAATCTTTAAAACCTTTTGTATTAAATAATCCAGCCATTGTTCTTTGGAATTTTCTTTTTATTTATCACTATTTCAGCATGAAATGTGAGAAAACATTTTTAAAAGATCCTCTGCTATTGTCAAGACAATTTCTTACTTCTAAGCATCCACGTAGTTACATGAATGCTAAGATACTTAACATAAAAATTTATTAGTTATAACTGAAAACCAATAACACAAATAAACATTTATTTAGAAAAAAAATTGAATCCACAAAACTTAAAACTAAATCAAAATCTAAAAATCTTGATCAGAATAGATTTCCTCTAACTTTTAACTACACTAAATGCCTAATTATTTCTTTATTAAAAAGTAACTCCAAAAAATTACCTAATTTCAACAACAAATTAAACTACTAAATAACTTTTGAAAAAACGTTATATGGAAACTAAGCTTTAAAAAAATAACAAAGAAAATCATTTCATACTTGTAAATAATAAATAACAATAATAAAATTGGTTTTTAAAGACACAACATTGGTTAATTAATATGATAAAATACCTGCAATTTTTTCCCTGTTAACGGTGAAGATGAACTACCTGGACGAGGGGGAGGATAATTTGGGATCATTTGTCTAGTTCCTGTTAAACCAGGAGGTTGAGTTGAACATGATTCAGTCGGATCAACATAGCCATCATCTTCATCTGATAAATTACCACTAGCAGAATCAGTAGCAGGTTTTTTTGAAGGTTTTTTACCGCCGAACCTGAATAATTTTCCTAAATTCCCTGCCATAACGAGATCGTTATTTAAGAATAGACAACAACAAAACTGCTTTTCATGAAGTTTTATATTTTGAATTTATTTTATGCACTGCCCTATTTAATAAGTTTAAAGTGATGTGCTGCTTGGCGGTGAAGTATTATTTTATCATAGTCACCCCTCGGGCTATATTGCCATGAAGGATCATAAAGGAAAAATCAAAACAATGTTTTATTTTTAGCTATATTTAAAAAGCAAAAATTAAGGCAATCACCGTAAAATTTTTATTTAAGGTTGCGCAGCAAGAACTTACGTTAAACGCAAATGTGAAACAAAATACGCATTTACATTTTCTTGCTTTAAGGGACATTTTTCATAAGAATCAGTTAAATTCTTTCCTACAAAATTTTTGAGTTTGTCAGATGTAATGCTCAAAATATTGCATTTATGCATATACTGAGCAAATTTATTTCTTTACTAATCAATATTTAATTAAAACTAAATGACATAAAAATGAAGTTTACACTTTGTGTCTTTTTTGTTTACGGTTAGTTTTTGTTTAGGTTGATGTTGAACGAAAACGCACAGGCAGTGTATAGATTTCTGATTCAAACACAAAATTTGCAGAAATTTAAAGCAAAGTTTCAGTTGTGATTTCTGCTATTGCTACGGCATAACAGTAGATGTTTTTAGGAAAAATAAACTTTTTTATAGACACTAGATAATTGGTCTCGAGTCTCGAGTTCTCGTCTAGTACCATACAGTATCGGTATCGAAATCACGTGATACTGGTATCGAAAGTATCGTTAATGTTAGTATCGTTTGGTATCGATGCGATACTTTACTGTATTGACTTCGAGATCACGCGATACTGGTATCAAAAGTATCGGTTACGTTAGTATCGTTTGGTATCGCTGCGATATCGCACAGTATTGGTATCGAGATCACGCGATACTGGTATTGAAAGTATCGTTTATGTTGGTATCGTTTGGTCTCGGTGCGATACCTTACGGTATCGATATCAATAGTATCAATTGGTATTGCAATTCGAGTCATCATGAGAACTTCCATGTTATTTTTATAAACGATTAGTAATTTGAAATAGTAAATTCGTATTACTAATGAGATACATAATGGCTCATTTATTACAAAAAAAAAAAGTTCTCTGAGTTGGTTGCATGACATTATGTTTATCATTTATTTTCTCTTCTGGTATTTTTGTTTTAATTTAAATAATTGTGTGGTACTACTTCTGTATTTTAATTTCTCATCTGTTATCCTTCCCAATCAGCAGTATATTAATGGGCCAGAGCTGGCGAGCCAGGTCCGGCAAAACACAGCCTTGGCTGGCGAACCAGAACTGGCCATTGCCGGACCATAACGTATCGTTAATGACTCACCGAAAATACAAAAATGCATGGCGCAAAATGTTTTTAATGTAAATGCAATATTTACGGAGAGAAAAAAATATTTATGGTTTCATTCAAGTATATAATTTTCATTATATCCCATCCTGTATATTAGTAATCTTGGTTTTAGTCCTGTATATTAGTAATCTTGGTTTTAGTTATAAGCTATTGGACTGAAAAAAAAAAAACTTCGAGAAGTTAAAATTATTTTATTTTAACTTTTATTTATTTATTTTTTCCAAATCAATCAAGGGAAAATGGTTATTGATGGAGCCTATAACTATGATTACATAGGTAAAACTGGGTTTTATTTTCCTCAGCCTAACGACGCTTTGCCCAAAACAGTCGTTCAAAGCAGTTGCAAAAAATAAGGGTTGAACACTTCAGATAATGAACCTTCCAACACCACTGCTCTGGATAATAACCTCAATATTTCTTATCAAATTGATAATGAAATTATTGAATTTAAAGCTTTATCTGATAACGATTCAGATAAAAGTGATAAGAATATTGTAATAGATGAACTAGAGGTGATTTAGCATTTTGATCTTCTCAGCATAATATCACACAAGAATTCACTGATTTAGTTTGCTGATCTATGACCAGAGTTGCTTAAATATTAATGCATCCTAAAATTTTATTTAAATTTGTGTTTTTTATGTATTTAAATAAAATTCACTTTTTATATATGTATTTTTTATGCTATATTTCATATGATCTCATTATCATTGTCATCATCCCCCAGCTTTATTTTCCTTTATTCTATATATTTATTGAACCTTAATTATATTTCTTTATAATTTCTTTATTTTTAATTTGGTGTTGAGTAAAACAAGTACTTCACTAAGTTTTAATTATTATTTGTTGACTAAAGTATACACTTATTAACTCCGTTAATGTTTAGCCTTAAAATTATTTTTACTGAACATCGTAATATCTCAAGGTATTATTTTGAATTTCATGTATACTTTTTAATGTATACTTCAAGGTGTTTGTAATATACCATAAAAATTTCTATAAACTATATTTTAACATTAAACTTATGTGTTTAGAGTACAGAAGTAACCTGATAAAAATTATGATAGTGACTCACAAGATTTTAAAGAACATCAAAAATGAAAAAAGTTTTGTCTGCAGACACCTGTCTCTGTATTAAACAAAAGTAAAGCAAGATTGGAAAAAGTGATCATAATTACCTCTGTGATTAAGGTATTTTGACTACTAATTTGTAGCCTATTGCAAAATATTTTATGAATTATAACTAATGTTAATAAAAAAAATGATTTAAATTGTTTTACTAGTGGTAGCAATTTTTTTTTTAAGGTGAAGGGAGTAGCAGCAAAAAGAGAAGTAGCAAAAAATTGAATTGGACAGGGCAAGGTGATCTTCAAAAAAAGTCTTTCCGAATTCTTAAATTTCGTTAAGTTATTGAAAGTAAGTTAATAAATATAATAATAAATAAATATAAATATTTAAAGTTGTCTTTCATTGTTTTCTTCACTTTATTGTCATTTATTAAATTTATATATGTGTGTTTACATATATATATATATATATATATATATATATATATATATATATATATATATATATATATATATATATATATATATATATACATACATACATACATACATACATACATACATACATACATACATACATACATACATACATACATACATACATACATACATACATACATACATACATACATACATACATACATACATACATACGTACATACATACATACATACGTACATACATACATACATATATACATACATACATACATACATACATACCCACATTAGGGCCATGTGAATCTTCAAAATTTTGAATTGAATCGGAAAAGTGGTTAGAGTTTCAAAAAAAAAAAAAGATTTAAGTTATTGAATATTTACTTATTTTCTTTTTGTTTTAGTTTTTTTAAATAATTGGGTAATTTTGAATAATTGAATAATTCAAAAATACTTTCTTTATTCTTACCAATTGTTAAAAATTGTTACCAATCGTTAAAAATTGTTACCAATTGTTAAAATATTTTACCAATTGTTAAAAATTGTTACCAATTGTTTAAAACTACATGAAGCACCAAAAAAGAGTTTTTACTATTTTTTTTTTTTTTTGAAATATACAATATAAAGAAATATTTTAACTCATATTCCTTAAATTGCTGATTTGATTCTTGATTCGATTTTCGAATCAAAACCTGCTTGATTTGTGATACAAAAAAAAAGTCGTGTTTTTCAAAAGGAATTGCCTTTATAAACTAAATTGGAAATTTTAAAAAAAACTAAAAATGTTCAAAGGAGGGTAAAAATACCTAACAAAGTAACTATAAATATCTATTTAATTTTGAGAAAATACATTGTTAGTAGAATTCTAAATTTTTAGTTATAGGCATTAAAAACTTGTGTCAGGGAAGGAACGATAGGTTCCTTCAGTGACACAAGTTTTGATGGCTATAACAAAAAAGTTATTATTCCACATGCAATATCTTTACCTGAAATTAAATAAGTCTTTATAGGTAGCATGTTAGGTATTATTGCCCCCTTCTAAACGCTTTTATTTTTTTTTTTGAATTTCCAATTTAGTTTATAAATATATATATATTTATAAACTAAATTGGAAAATATATATATATATATATTTTGAATTTCCAATTTAGTTTATAATATATATATATTTGAAAAAAAAAGACAATCCTGACCATATGTATATGTATATATATAAAAACAAAAAGAGAGATATACAGATATAGACATATACAGATATATACAACAGCTATATTTAGCTATACTCTTATAATTTTGTTCATAAAAACACTTGATATATGACTGCATTTATGTTTATAGAAGCAATACAAAGAAATTTGCTGACAAAAGATACCACATACAGCGAAATTTAAAAGGGAGTTGTGGCTTTTTTTTCTGGAGCTCCAGACAGAAATAGAGGCAGAAAAAAAGGAGCAGGAAAAAAGTCCATCAAAAAAACCAGTTCAACAAAAAATCGTGGCTATACTGCCCAATCATTAACATTAAAACCTTTATCTGGATTGTCATTACCACGATTTGAACACTTTATTTTTGATGAATCTGATAAAATATGTTCTCAAAGTCTTGCATGATCTGTTTTATATGTTATGTTTTATATTAATTGTATATTTGACATTATTATAAGCTTTACAAGTAATTATATTATTAATGATAAATTTAATGCATTTATTTTTTATATATTTTTAATGCAAATTTATTAACTTGTAAATTATTAACAAGCAATATATTATATGAGTTCAATACTTGTTTTTTGTTTTTAACTTATGTCTATTTTAACAAAAAGTAAAAAAAACAACATAACTGACAAACATAATAGATATAATAATTATTTTTATATAATTATATAAAATTTAAATATATATATATTATATAATATATGCATATATATATATATATATATATATATATATATATATATATATATATATATATATTAAGTAAAATTAGTAAAATTGATGAAAAAAGTAGTTTAATGGGACAATTTTGTATAGTGGGCGTTTAGTGCAATGTTCGCTGATTGCCAGCGTTGGCAATTGAATCAATGCCGGCTTGCCGCTAGCAAAACGTTGCTGCGCCAGCACTGGCTTCCGTATACTGGCCCTTAGAAAAACAAATAAGCAACCCGGCGCTGGCGTGCCAGGCCTGGTACAGCTCGGTAGCCAAGCCTGGTTCGCTATTAGGCCAAATAGTGTCTCCTTACTGGGTTATTAAAATTTTTTCTAGGGTGATTAAAAGGAAAGAAAAGATTTTTTTAACATATATTTCTATATTAAATTTTTACAAATAATTAAATTATATTAAGCAGTGTGCAAGGGACGAACAAAAAGGTAATGGAGTGGGTGGTATTCGGGGTAACTACCCCTTTCCCTTACCTAAGAAATGTCAAACTTTTTTTTTTTTTTTTTTTAAGTTTTTGTTCTTTAATCTTTGCAAATTCGTAATATATAATATAATCGTTCACAGAGAATAGTAAAATTAAAAAAAAAAAAAATACGTTATCTAAAGAATGTGGCTGGATAGCTCAGTTGGTTAGAGAGTAGAACAAAAAGTTTAAACCCGGACTGTTATAAAAATAATACTATGAGTTTCGGCAGAAATGCAAAATATAGAAACAAAGAATGTAGACAAAAAGTTTTTAATTTTTTTAATTTTATTGCTATACACAAAAATATAAGTAGGTACACGATTTGTTAAATAGGTAATATAGTTCACGTGTTGATAAATAAGCATATTATTTATTACTATTTTTTGTTGTTGTTGTTTTTAAAGTTTTTTCAGAGTTATTAGAGATTACATTGGTTTCGGAACAAATTTATTTTTATACATAGTTTAAAATGTTTTTGGGTTAATAAAATTTATAAAGTTGTTAGTGTTTAAAATAAGATCTTTTAATAACGTTTTCAGAGTATTTAAGTTGTTCGATTTTTCCAGTTGAGAGTTTTTGGATATTAATTTGTTATATAGACAAGGACCGCGGTACGAAATAGAAAAGCGCGAGAGATTAGTTTTTTTAAAAGGTACGTTGAAGTTTCCCGTTCCTCTGGTATGGTATTTGTTTTTGCTATTTTGAAAAAAATTCTTTAAAAAGTGAGAAGGAACAAGTCCAAGTTCATGTTTGAGCATATTTGAGCAACAACAAATTTTGGAATATATTGATTTGATATACATTTAATGCTTTTAAATTTTTTTAAAGTGGTTCAGCTTGTGAGAATATATCCTTATTAAAAACTATTCTAGCAGCATGATTTTGTTTCCGATATAACGTGGTTAGTTTGAATTTATGAGTACTCGCCCATGCAACATTAGCGTATATGTACATATACTACATATGTAGTAGCTTTGTATGAGCGAGAAGTATAGGAGCTTTAAATTATCAGGAGACAGTATAGAACTAGCTTTGTAAAGTATACCTATGTTTTTTGATATTTTGGTATTTAATATATCTATATGTGATTTCGATGAGATGTTCTCATCAATAAGTATCCCTAGAAATTTAGTTGTTTGGGTTCTCTCTATTTCTTCAGTATTTATATTTAGCGAAGGTAAATCGGGAGGTATTTTTATATGGTTAGAATGAAAAAGAATGTATTTGGTTTTTTCTGTGTTTAGCGATAATTTGTTAGATTTTAACCAACTGCTTATTTTTTCAAGTTCAGAATTTGTAGTTTCATACAGTTCTGTAATAGATGAAGATGCATAAAATGAATTAGTATCGTCTGGAAACATTATGACATCCAATTTACTTGAGGCTTTAGGAAGATTGTTTATGTATATTAAAAACCAAAGAAGTGGCAGAATGGAACCTTTGGGGACACCGCATTTTATTTTGAGTAATTTTGAAATTTTTTTTTTCATGAGCAATAACGCATAGTTTTCTGTCTAGTAAAAGGTTTTTGAACCAGTTTAGCGCAACACCTTTTATCCCATATTTTTCCATTTTCCTAATTAAGATAGCGCAATCTACTGTGTCAAATGCCTTAGATGAATCAACAAAGACTTCAAGGACGTGTTTTTTGTTTTCAAAGGAGTCATTTATATTATTTATAAGATAGATATTTATATTTTGTTAGATATTTATACAGTTTGTTATATATTACTCTCTCCAAAAGTTTTGAAAACAGTGGAAGAACTGAGATAGGTCTGTAATTGTTTAGTGTAAATGAATCCTTGGTTTTTAATATTGGTATTACCTTAGCTATTTTTAATTTATTTGGTATAGATCCTGTAATAATTGAGGATTTGAATATTTCATAGATTGGTTGTTTTATCACCGGAAACACATTTACAACTATATAGCTACAAATGTCGTCTATCCCAGGAGTCTTATTCGTCTTAAGCGAGTTTTTTGCATTTTCTTGTTCTTTATGGTTTAGTCCAGAGGAGATATTTAAACAGAAATTTTGGGTTGTGATATAGGTTTCAAAGGAGATTTTAGGGCATTGAATTTTTGAAGCCATATTAGGGCCTATGTTTGCAAAAAAACTATAGAAATTTTCAGCGATAGCAAATTTGTCGATATATTCAGTTTCGTTGACGATAACTTTATCGGGTTAATTATTAGATTTTGTATGGTTTTTACCTGTTATTTCCATTAATATGTTTCAGATTTTTTTAATATCACTTTTGCTTTTTTGTTTTGAATAATATTTTTTTTTTAAGTTTTTTCTAAATTTTTCAAATAGATTTTGTATTTTTTTGTATGTAGTTATGTTTATTGTAATGATCTAGAAAAATATTTATAAATAAATTGTATGCAGAGTTTGTGTGTCCAAGATTACATTCTTGATACACTCCATCCCAATTTACAACCGATAGCGAGTATTTAAAATTTTTAATAGAGAACTGATTGATTTTTCTTTTATAAATTTTGGTTTTAGGATTGTTATAGGTTCTTAAATCTTGAGGAAATGAAAAATAAATAAGAAAATGATCTGATGTATCTTTTTTGATAATTCCTGCTTTTAAAGAGGTTTCTAGAAATGTGTTTGTAATATATTGTCTATGGCAGAAACGGAGTTTGGGGTTACCCGGGTAGGTTTGTTGATGATTGGGAGGATACACAATTGAAACAAATTATCAAAAAAGAATTTAGTAATCGCATTTTCTTTGTAGTTTAGACTGTTAATATTTAAATCCTCTAAAAAAAAAATTTTTTTCCCTTGTCATTTATTTTAAGAAAGATTTCATTTTAAAAAAATTGAAAATTTAATTATATCACCTTCTGATGAATCATTTAAAACGAACTCAAATTTTCAAATTATAAATTATAAACTAATATCTTTTGAAAGAAAAACAAATAAAAGGGGAAGAGGGATCGCAACGTATATTCGAAATGATCAAGCGTTTAAAGTAAGACAAGACCTCTCTATCTCTGATACTGGTGGCGAAGTCTTTACTATTGAGATAACGGGTAGTAAATCAAAAAATATTTCCACTTGCTATAGACCTCCAGAACACCACGTTTCGGTTATGCAAATCATACTGAATGAGTAGTTGCAATCTATTAGGAAGTGATTTAGTTTATCAAAATTTTTATATATACTTGTTATATTGTTATATATATGTGTATTGCAGTAAAATTATTTTTTAATGTTTCAACTTTAATTTTAAAAGTTTCTGTTTCAAAATATTTCGAATCAAAACTATTTCTATAAAAAATTTGCGCATCAGAGTCGTAAAAATCATTTAGTTAAATATTATTAGCAGTTTCGAAGACGTTGAAACGCAGCGTTTCAAAATCTTTTTTGTTTTTGTTTTTGTTAGTCATTGTGTTAAGGGCGGTAAATTAAAACTTGCTAGCATAATAAAAAAACGCACAGATCTATTTCACAAATCTTGATTAAGTACTTTGTTTAAATTAAAATTATTTACGAAAATCTCTGACAAATATTATACTACAAACTACAAAATAATATAATATTAAACTACAAAATAATAATGATAAAATTAAAAAAATACAAAAAACTTACATAACCATTTAATATATTTTTTACTACTGACTATCTTATAACCTTTCTAAAATCATTCTAAATATCAAATGAAACAGTTATTTTATAAAAAAAAAAAATGCAAACTCTATTTTTTAAATTTTTTTTAGTCCGACTACCCCCCTAAAACAATGACCTAGATCAATCTCTGCAATGTGTAGTTTCCCATATCGTTATTCAAACTTTATCGAATTTTTATTGCATTCAGGTGAAAATTTTCTGCGCGGAATTAATCTCCAAGGGAATAGTTTTGCAACTATTAAAGAGTGTTTTTCATACAATTCTCCAAAGAAAATTGCTTATGATGCAATGGTTAATGATTATTCTAAACGAGTATTAGAAATGGTTCTTCATAGTTTTTTAACTATCATTAAAGAGAGCTTTTCATATAATTCACCAAAGGGACCTGCTTGTGATTCGTTAATTGTT